AATGTGACGACAGTTTTGCCGCTGAATTTATCGGGAATTTGAATGCGGAGTGTTGCATTATGGGACGTCAGAGACCTGCACCCCAATTCAGTTTCCCCACTAAATTTAGCGGGGAATTGAATTGGTGTTGAGAATATGTGGCCTCAATTTTCTAGCTAAGTTTAAGGGGGAACCTGTGGGAGGTGCTGTGTTAACAGAGGAGGGGGAGAGTACGCAGGAGGAGAAGGGTAGGGTACAGAGGAAATGGATTTGAGGGTACGGCGGAGGAGGGGAATGCATGAAGCATGAGGAGGTGAGGCTACGGAGGTGGAGGGGGAAGGCTACGGAGGGGGAGAAGGGGATGATTCGGAAGAGAAAGAGGGGAGGATATGGCGGGAGAGGGTACGGACGAGGGAGAGGACACGGAAGAGAAGGAGGGTGCAGAACAAATATGTAAGGGGAGTGATATATATCCAGTGTGTTTGAGAGAACGGAGGTAAAATCGCTCCTGCGAAATCTACCCATCGCAGCAAAAAAAGGCTTGCGGCGTTTTGGTCCTGGGCCAGGGGCTCACATAGGAAAATGATTAAAAGCCGGAATAATTAAGTTGTTGATTATTTTTGCATAATTAACTTTTAGAGCGCAGCTCTTAGGCGCCCGTTTCCGGCTTGAGCGGCGTCGCCGTCGGCGTCGCCGTCGGCGTTACCGCGCGGTGCATTATCGGTAAATTTCCCCGCTAAATCTAGCGGAAAAATTTCCCCGCTAAATCTAGAGGGAAAATTTCCCCGGTAAATCTAGCGGAAAAATTTCCCCGCTAAATTTAGCGGAAAAAATTTTCCGGCTAGATCTAGCGGAAAAATTTTCTCGCTAAATCTAGCGACATAAATTTCTCCGCTAAATCTAGCGGTAAAATTTCCCCGCTAAATCTAGCGGAAAAATTTCCCCGCTAGATCTAGCAGAAAATTTTCCCCGCTAAATCTAGCGGAAAAAATTTCCCCGCTAAATCAAACGGAAAAATTTCTCCGCCAAATCTAGCGGGGAAATTTCCCCGCTAAATCTAGCGGAAAAAATTTCCCCGCTAAATCTAGCGGAAAAATTTCGCCGCTAAATCTAGCGGAATAAATTTCCCCGCTAAATCTAGCGGAACGATTCCCCCGGTAAATCTAGCGGAAAAATTTTCCCCGCTAAATCTAGTGGAAAAATTTCCCCGCCAAATCTAGCGGAGAAATTTCCCGCTAAATCTAGCGGAAAAAATTTCCCCGGAAAATCTAGCGGGGAAAATTTGGTCACGTGACCGGGGGGGGGGGGGGTCACGTGACCTGGGGAGTTACGTGACCCCCTCCAGAGGTCCCGTGACCTCGGAGGGGGTCACGTGACCCCCCCTCGAGAACACGGCGTCCTCAGTACCCTTCAGTCCTCCTCCTCAAGAGCTGCGCTCCAGTTCGGCGTTACAGGGAGTTGTAAACGGCTTTCACTTTTTTAATAATGTGTTTAGGGCATGGTTTAAACTAGAAAATTGGTCAGCACCATCGAAAAACATTAAATAAACAAATTGCAGAACGATAAAAGGCACGCGAAGCATTTTACGGCTTTCTAAAAAACCGCACAAAATCGACGGGTTTTTAAGCTTCGGTTTGCTATTGGAGCGCATCTCAGACCCGGCGGCACCGCGCCCCGTGGAGAGATAGTGCAACCAGCCTCTGCTGTGTCGCGCGATGACAGCGCAGCAGAGGTTGGTTGCACTATTTCGAAATCAAATAATGGACTTCCTTTCTCACGGGGCATCTCACCTGATCTCGCCCATCTCGCCGCAGAAGAATTCGTATTGGCCGCTTGCTTGCCCCTTGGCTCGACAGCCAGTTCGTTTGCCAGGAAAGAGAAGAGAAGGTTTTGCCGCGCTAGGGGCATTCCGGCAATCTTTTCTAGAATCTCCTGAGCCGTTAGCGCTGCGATTTGCGAAAACCTCTTCGAAACGACCGCGGCGGCCGCGGAAAGGGGATTCCCGGGCAGTTGGATGACGGGAAGGCATTCGCCGACCCCGGAACAGTGGTCATGTTCCACAGGGGATCCGTAGGTGGCGCGACCCCGTTCGGATCGTGTGCTCCATTCCGGATCTTTTCAACTGGTCCCGGTGCGCTCCCAAGCACCCAGTGAAATTCGCCATTAGGGTTTACAAGGTGTCGATTCAACAGCTCGCCTGCACTTCATCACTTCTTAAAAAACCGCTCTTCGCCGACGACGAGGTTTCAGTTTCATGTGGGCAAGCTTCTATTTCGAGTTTGTGTTGCTCTGCGATGAACGAGTCGGATTATGCATCTATCGAGGATTACATAATATCGCTCTTTCACTAGTAAGTGCACTGCAAGAATGCTTATGATAGTAGTCCTGCTTCCCTCTCCATCTCCCCAGTTTCTCGTGTTTTAATTTATGAGCTTTCATTGGCTTGAAAACAGTGTTAACTCTATTTAATTATTTGGTTTTTATTTTACAAAGAAGTATAAGTTTTGTAATTGTATCTAGAATAAGCTGTGTGTAATGATATTGGTTTAATAAACCTATGGGAGCGATTGAAAGCAATTTGGATGATCCGTGTTTGGGATTGATATGCGACGACCTACACAACGCAGATTTTCGCGACGTCCGGTCAATACGGAGTGGATGCACCGTAGAGTATTAGCCTGACATTGCGCCAACACTAGGTCGGGGCGAAACGACGGTACGCCAATACCTGCCGGATATCAAGAGATGGTGCATAACTGGGCATTTGGGTGATATGGGAACCGGCTTTTAACCGGTACCGGCACTGCACTGCCAAGTATCGTCATGCTGCTTGGGGACAGAGATGATGATATCTGACCATCGTCCTTTGAAGGCTTGTTTAAATTAATTTTGTTCTGCATCGCGTACAAGAGAGCTTTTGTGGCAAATCAGAGAGATGTCAAACTTCGGCAGGCTTCTGGGCTTTCTTTGGCACTTTTAACGCTCCAGTGGCTAGCCAGAGAAAAGCGAAACTTTGGTATGCCCCGAATCTCCAAATCAGAATTTACTTTAGCAGTTATGGCTTAAGTCTGGCACTTACGTCGCCCCTCCTGTGGCGGACCAGATAAAAGCTAAACGTCGACATGTCCGAAATCGTCAAATTAGGCGTTACTTTGGCAGTTATAGCTCAAGTATTGTACTTACTTTGGCACTCCTGTGGCGGACGAGAACAAATTCCAGGCTTTGGCATATCCGGGATCTCCAAATTAGGCGTTACTTTGGTAGCTATGGCTCAAGTATGGCATTCATTTTAACATTCGTGTGGCGGACCAGAAAAAAGGCAACCTTTGGCATTCCCGGAGTACCCAAATTAGGCGTTACCTTGACAGTTATGGCTCGAGTATGGCACTTTGCCGTTCTTCTGGCGGACAAGAAAAATCCGAACTTTGGCATTTCATAGGTTAGGGCTATAGTTAGGCAACGCACTTTGTCACTGACAGGCGCCATGGGGCAAAACCTAACTGAGCCCAAGTTAGGTTCTTTAGTTTGCCAAGTTGGACGTTTCTCTAGCGTGCTACCTGGGTAGGTTCAGTTCTAAATAGTTTGATTAGATAAACGAATACAAAACTTTCACAGCGGAGCTGTTTAGGGCTAGTTTCCCCAGATTCGTGCCCGGTACCAAACAAATGTCGTAAATGTCGACACAAAACTACATAAAACTCTGGACAGCTCTAGCAATCTATAAGCGACGGCGGCAACCAGACGACCAATCTGGTTGCTGTCATAACTCATAAAGGGCGGCAACCTTTCCAGCCTTCCCGTCAAGGTGCGCGATGGCCCGCTGGTCGCCGTCGTGTACGTCAACCCTCGACGCCCAATAGAGACATCGATCCATTCATGATGGACGTCTTCGGCTGGGTCATGCTCGACGACGACACGTCTGGCGTAGTCTGACGTAGTCTGGCGTAGTCTGACGTAGTCTGGCGTAGTCTGGCGCAGTCTGGCGTAGTCTGACGACACGTCTGGCGTCTGGCGCTGACATTGCACGCCAGGAGGCAAAAATTGTTAACTTCGTTTATGCTCAAGCGCTTCGGGCTTGCATGTGTGAACGAACTTACGGTGTCCACGACCAGGCATCGCATGTCTATGGACCTCATCTTGACAAAGAACGTGCCGGCCGTAAGCGTACACCCTATGGCAGTGTACCTCAGCGATCACAAGGCTATGGTCACTGTAGTTACGAAATAAATAACAACCCCATATCGTTTATATGTCTAATTCTGTAATCGTTCAAATAACCAATTACCCAATCACACCTTAATCATTACTTTTATAAATACTTCATTCCCCCCATAGTACAGCTTCGCTGGTCTTCCCTCTTCACCAGAGTAAAAAGGCTGACGGTTTTTTTTCAACACAATATCCGCAAGGCCGCTCACTACGTTGATTGCGTCAATAAAAAAAATAGAGTTGTATACAAACACGAAACGGTCTCATGATAATAAACTTATAATTAGTGCAGTTTCTGAAGTACGAGTTCTTTTCAGAATTTACTCGTCCCAGACAGGTTGTGAATGCATTTGCTTATCAAAGGCCAACTCAGTTGAAGGTACACATATTTAATTCCCCTCTAGACCCCCCCCCCCCCCCCCCCTAAAAGTAATGCAGGAAAAAAACAACTAAATATTGGATGACATGTATTATTCCTTGCATTGTCAAGAGGTATATGCCATGTTGATAATGTTTGTTTATGGATTGAAAAAATCAAAGCCTCAAGATACAGCGGGCATCTGTGTATTCTTGCGCCGAGCCTAAGGGCTTAGTCCTTGTCTCTCGCTGTCTTCGTCTCGTTGGGTACCAGGTCAAAGCATTTTGAAGCAGAAGTATTATACGTAGGCACCAAGACGAGAACCTACATAAAAGAGGCACACATCACCGTTCGAGACGGAATTGTATGTCTCATGATTTTAATGATTTCCTTGTCTGGCGGTTTGAGTGTAATATTGCTTAAACATCTGAACTGCTGGAGTAGTTAAAACATCTTTGTTGAAACTTCCTGAAACTTTTAATTTTACAAATATTTGGAGACCGTTCTTTGTTTTCCGGGGCTTGAAACTGCATCCGAATTCTACGCACGAGCATGGTTTTCCCAGCTTTTATCATCCGCATTTTGGCTCTGCCAGTCTTGCTCTGTAGCTCAGGCTGAAACATGGGCGCACCACCACCCTTTTTGAGTGCTTCAAAGGTTTCTAAACTTCAGTGACTTAGTAGGTTTTGATCCCGCCAGCAAGTATCTATTTGTAGTTACATGTGTTTCTTTACTAACAAGTTAAATTAGTAATTTAATTAAGGGCCTCGTTATCTGACACGCTATGCACTTCGCTAAATTCGCCCCCCAACAGGGACTAGAATGGCACAAAATGGTTTTTCTGTTTTACGTGCTTTTTTGCAGGGACAGTTTTGCCGGTGTTCGCGAACACATCCCGTTTAAGCTGCCCTTTGTGACTGCAAGTATGTTGATATCACTTATATTATTTTAGCTATTTGTAAATGAGGTGCGAAAAAAACTTTTGTTCTTTTAAGTTCGTCACAACTTGTCCTCATAGAGTGAGCGTTGTGTTAATAATTTACGAGATGCACGAAAAACGTCTTTTCATTTTTATAAATCTGCTGCCTGGTTGTCGTAGACCTACGAAAAAAAGTAAAGCGATAGTTACTTTCTGAATAATAGGGGATTAATAAAGACATTTAATGGCACATAGAAGATAGAATATTGCTTGTTTGCGATGTGCTAAAAGCCAGTGTTATAAATGTAATATAATGCAGGAAGTATATTTCAAGCGTCAGATTTCAATAACGAATTGATATATGCTCAAATAGTTAAAGATTTTGTTTTCAATTGAAGTATAAAAGGACTAAAAATAACTTAAGCTTTCACGAATCTCTTAAAAAAAGACCAATGCCAATGCAGTTTAAACTTAATATCGAGGAGCATATTTTTATAGCTGAAAGTTCTTTGAGCAATGCGTGCACGTTAATTTTATAAATGCCATTTGCAGAGAATGCTCCCTCGGACACACAGCAACGCATATAATTACTTTACGCTTCATTTTCTATCACAAGGGCGAATTTGTTTTTTTGATTTACTTACCTCATTAGCATTCTCATGCATGGCAATTTTGTTTTTTAGCCTGAAAGATAATACATGCATCTGTAAACCACTCGGGCGCATGGTTACGCACGTGAACGCGAGATAAAATAAGAAAATTTCAGACACGGCCCGTTTGTTGTCGCGTATAAGCGAGTTTGCCATGCTGAATCCGCGTTTACCAACACAGTATTTCGCTGCGGTAGCTTCTTTTCGAGTCTGGAACATCAAAGCAAATAATAAATGCTAAACAAAATCTCAAATAACAAGTGTGTGTATTGAGTATAGGGTCATAGCAATACCGTAAAAAAGTAACAGAACGTTTCTAAATTTGCTTTTTTATATGTCCGCAATATGTTTTACATCCGAACTAATATGTTCATTTCAGGATATTAAACTGCGTGGGAACACTATACGCTAACCACCAACGCAATGCTATTATAGCGTTGTTGGGCTTCTGACGTTGTGCGCTATTGTAAATAAAGATATCAAGTGCGAAGCAAAGATTGCAAAGAAATGCATCCGCCGAGAACTAAACTACGCGTTACCAAAAAACTTAGAGCCTATTAGGTTAAAATTCTAGCGGTAAGTTCATATGTTTATAACTCAAAGCTATCTGATTGAGGAGTTAGAAGCGCTCTTCGGGAAGCTTCAATGAGAAAATTGGCGTTGTTTTGGCAAAGAGCTCTATTCATCCCTCCATCTGTGCAGCCGCGGGCTAATTGGCCGCTATTTTCTCATTGAACAGTTCCGAAATCGGGCTCCAAGTTTAGACTTTGAATAGGTCAGATTCTGAAACTTTCAATTCCTAAGCCAACGGGTGCCGCTACAGTTGAACAGATCTTGGGGATTTGTGGGATACATAGGTAATTTATCTTTCAGTCGCGTAAAACTCTGCTTTGCTTTGCTTCGCTGACACCCTGTGGATTTAGTATTTGAAATAGGCACAGAAAAGTTTAGAATAAGTGAAATTCTGAGCGTCTAATTGTGCTGTAAAGTGAATCTAAGATGCGTCAAATTCCAGGAAAACATTTCTTTTTCACCAGTAGAATGCTGTCTGAACAGCATTCTACAGGTTAGAACTAGATTGATAGCGTGCTATTTTTTTCATAAGAAGCCAGTTTGAAGGATTATTACCAGATAAGCTCAGTTAAAAAGATATTCAAGTTGTGATCGAAAATGTTCTCACCTTTGAATGATAACGATGGCGACCGCCAAGCAGAGGACAATTAAAATGCCGAAGACGACTCCCACTACCACCGTATTCCTTATGGTAGCTGAAAGTTGTGAACAAGAAAAATTTATTTTGAGCAATCATGTTGAAATATTAAAAAAATAATTGGGACTATTCAAAATAAGAATCCAATGATCTCACAAAATTTTTTCCCACAACAATTCATTAGGAGCGAAATAAAAACGAACCACTTGGATATTATTGTACAGTTAATATGATGAATTTAGAGTACAAGGTTGACCACGATCCCATGCATTTCGACCGCCCCTAAATTGCGGGGAATAGGCGCGGATAGAGGTGGTCCCACTGGGTCTGTATCGCTGCCGCTTCTTTTATATATACGAAGCAGAAGCAAAACACCACTTCAGAGGTCTTTTCGCAAGTTTGCTTCTGGGAAGTACTGATGTCGTGTCGTGCCTTGTAAATAAATGTGACATGCACTAGAGCACCTCAACTCCTCGCGGCAGGAGCGAGAACGCATATCCTTCGATTTTCTTTTTTTATTCCTTTTTTGGAGCTTTTTTAATGCGAAAGCATTAACTGTCCCAAGGAGCGAGCCGACGTCATCAGTTTTGAAGCCGCGCCCAACGGCACCTTAAGTTCTTTCTCCAAAGTGAAGCCAGCTCCCAGCTGTGAAACCACGCGAAAAGCCTAGCGAAACGGGACCTAGTTTCCCCGACCACCCCCCCCCCCCCCCCAAAAAAAAAAAAAAAAAAAAAAAGCGGAGTAAATTTGATAGATTTCGGCTTCGGTCTCATTGGCTGGCGCAGGTCGTCGAGGCTTCCATTGGCCGCTGCGCGTCAGTTTCAACGACCGCCACTCCATTGCGCTGCGTGTCCGCGAGACAGGGGCTCCAGCGCTCCACGCCCAAGGTCAGCGCGCCGAGGACAGGGCGCACACTCGACCTTCGACGCAATGGACCTTTTCCACGTACCGACGGCACCAGGCGGTGGCCGCACGAACTAAAAATCGAGGAAGTGACCTACCTGCGCTACCAATCGATAATGAGAACTACGCTACCAGTTTCTTCGCTCTCTCAGCAGCGGCGCCTGCCCAACGCGACTTTAAAGAGGGGCATCCGTGGCGTCCACCCAAACGTCGTGTTTTCCTTTCCGTCGACGATCTTTTTTTGTGTAACACAATTACATATAAGCTCCAGTTACGTGTTCTATTCGCTGATATAGAGCCTCCTTCCGAATTTCTTCGATTTTTCGTTCCGACTTCCACCGCTTGGCATCGGGCGCTCGCGCGTGCACAGAACGGTTCTCGGAAAAGGTCCATTACGCAGCGCAGACGAAAGAAGGGAGTGAAAGAAGCGGCGCGCATGCTTTCGCACCCCCAACTCATGAGAAGTGATTAAGTGTACCTGAGCCTTTTTTGTACTTAGTCCTAACAATTTTCCGTGGTCTGCTCGCGTCCTTATTTTGTTACTATTATAGAGTAGAGCGTTTGTGGCGGTGGTAAACGAACGGTAGCGATCGCTCCAAAAATTTTGTTTTGCACCACACGTGTCCATTGTACTAACGAGTTATCGGTCGTAGGTTCATTTGTATTGCAGATTGTAAATTACTTTTTTCATAGTTTACTGTTCTTAAACTGTCTGTTTCTAAATAGCACCGACCGCGCAATAAAAAGAAAGACAAAAACGGAGACACTCAGAACTTCCATTATGAATCACAAACTCACCTAAGCTTCATTTTTAACAATACTTGACGCAATAATTTCCTTCATATTCCTCACTTCTTTTTTTTATTTTAATACGACAGTAGAAGCTACGAACCGTCTAGAGCGTCTCGTGGATTCGGTTTACTAGAACAGTGATGTTTACTTGGATATCCATGATTATTGAACAAACGGAACCTCACAGCCTATAGATTTGGCCTAAAGAAGGTAGTGGACAAATATATACCACGCTGAGTTTTTTTTATTATGCTTATAAGAGGAGCGGATTAGCACTGTTACCCACGCCTTTGTGCGTAAGATTGCCGCTGTCGGTTACAACCTTGCTCACAACGCTTCTCGTGGGTTAACATTACACCCGAATTGTTTACCTCCTGTTTGTTGGGCGCTTTGTTCAACAAGTTGACTAAAAGTAAAAAAAAAAACTAAGTAGGTAATAAAATCGTTCATAGAACGTAATGTTTTACTCTATTTTCTTCTGTTTACTGTGCATTTGGTCAGTAACCATTTTGCACCCGACTAGCCTCTAATGATACTCGTTTCAAATAAGCTTGAACTGAGCAAACGATTCTTACACATCTGTATTTAAAACAACATCCGAATGCTCAGAGGTGCTACTGTTGAACGCGATGGTTAACTTCGTTATTTTAAAGCTCGAATGACCTTTGCATGACTTGATAAGCTGTAAGAATTATAATGTCTTAAGAATACAGTTTTCTCAGAAGGAATGCATTTTAGGATGATAACCTTATAGAGAGTGCCTTGTGTGAGTTCTGGGTTTAAAGAGCGTAATGTTTTGAGTGCAAATTTCATTTAAACTTTTGTGTGACATGCGTGTTTTAAAACACTCACAAAATAAAAAAAAAACATAATTGGTAATATAAAATTATGTCGAATAAACATACGAAATTACTTACTCGCCATTATGACATCTTCAAGTTCACATAAAGGTCCTTTAAATCCGGGTTTGCACCTCAAAAAGAAATGAAACTCATCAAGAAACAATTTTGCACGATCCTACAAAGAACAGGGGAAAACTGAACTCGAAAATAACGTAAACCGGGTATTTGAAAACATGTCTCACGGACCTCAAAATCACTCGTTTATGTGTAAATAAATGATTATACACTACACATGTAATTAACAAAAAAAAAAAGAAAAAAAAACACTGAGCCCATTTGTCTTGCCAGCAAGAATAGCAATTCTATGCAGGATACTCGCACATGTAAAGCATTCGTTCAGAATGATTTAGTTAAATAGCTCAGACGACGTTCTTATGATATTCACACGATATATAAAACTTTCACCGCAGACTCTAAGCAATGTATCAAAACAAACACCAGGCAATTTAAAATAATTATCGCAAAGACATGGAGGAAGCAAGATTGCAATAAGTTAGACCTACCTGCAATGAAAAGGAGTTTTTTCGCTTAGCGTGCACTTGCCGCCGTTTTGGCAGGGATCTTTTTTTATGCAGTAGGCTGAAAAACATTTCAGACGTATAATTTTTATAGATGTTAATTTACGTAAAGCTCTACTTCCTCGACTTTCACGCATCCGAAAGTGATGAGCCCAAAGTGCAATAGGTATACTGTCAATCATTATGTCCTCACCTTATTCTGAACTTTGTAATCAAAAGCAGCTTCCGACAAGATAGATACCGGTGTGATATACGATTGTGTGTAAACATTTCATATAATTAAAAATGTCGGTTAGTTTTCAACGTACAACTTTGCGCCAATTAGAACACCACATTCACATTTATACCTTATATCGGTAAAACTTCACAATATATTTTTAACTCAAATGTGAAGGAGCTATTGCATTTTTCCAATATTGCTAAGGTAAAATAGCGCCCTTAAAGACCGATACATTTTCACAGAAATTTATTTCCTAGCTTGGCAGAGACTCTACAATTACATATAAGATCACTTCATTAAGTAAACCAATTCAAGAGAAATTACAACGTAGCGACCACGACAATATGATCACGAACAAACCTTAGTCGGTTTTTTCTTTTTTTTCTTTTAGTATTGAAAGACTGTAATCAAAACTACGGTAAATGATAAGTGTTAAATTTTGATGCTTTCTAGTACACTTCTGAAGTAAATCGCATAAAACCAAAAAAGTCGTGTTCGCGCTGAAAGTGTAGCGAAGTGTATACATAAAAAAAGCATTCGATTTGTTGGAGCAAACTCACGGCTGATGATTAACACTTATTTCGACTTGGATGAAATATAGAATTATTCCTTACGAATGCATTTGCTGCCTTCACTAACGAAGTGCGACTTTTTGCAGACGCATTCGTTTTCTAGACACTCTTCTCCCTCTTCTGTGCAATATTCTTGACATTCTTTCACTGCAAAATAGAAAGGCAAATATGTTTGAGCTTGTGGTATTAAAATAAGAATTTCGACTTTTCAAAATTGTTCTTTTAAAGTAACTTTCGTCTTTCTACGATCTAGTAGTAAAATTCTAGAAAAAGATGGCGACTTATAAATACCCTTTGCATAAAAAAAGTAAAATTTTAGAAGTGAAGTTTATGAAAAATTTTACGATCATTTACAGTAAAGCAACTTAAACAAAATTAAAACAAAATAAATTCGATTGAGACTTTTTAGTGTATATTCAACAATATGCAGATGGATGAACCATACTTGATCGAATGAAACAGTCTACGAAGTCGCCGCAAGACAAAATCTTTAATGGAGCCGGAATTTGAGCTACGGGGACTGCCAATATCCGGTCGGGTATGCTACATCCTCCGCCACTCCACCGTCTTTCAGGCGTTTTCTATCTGTATTATTAATGCACTGAAACAAAATATATCCAATAGAGGGTATTCTCGAAGCACACGACACCGCGTGGGACGCGGTACGACGCGTGCTTGCACGTGGTTCGTTGTCGTTGTGCTCCAGAATTCCTATCACTGTTTGTCTCGTCGGGGTACATGTATTAGTTCTTGTTTATAAGCTATAGAGACACGGTATTATGATCTGCTGGAATCAAGAGCCAATTTTGTATATATTATGGGAACTGTGATCATCCTAAGTGATGGAAAGTGACAGCATGAACACGATAAGAAGGTGTAATCTAAAAGACCATAAATCAATGTAGGAACTGACCTTGAATTTTTTTTAACCCAAAAAATTCCAACAATACCTGCTAGAATGTAGTAAGAAGTTTTACCAAACGCCGAGGGAACAAATTTGATGGGATCTTCTCAGTTTTGTGTCTGAAGTGAGAGAGAGCTTATATACATCATTCCCATGGTTCATTATTGCTATAGATTATTTTACCAAACGTTGGTGGTCATCTTTTTTTTTTTGTAAGGACTATTGAGGTATAGTGCCACAAAGGCAGACAATTATTACACTCAATTATATGTCAATACTTCAGAGTAGGGACCTTTGTTTTTGACAAAGCGTTTGTGTTCGGTGAGACGATGGTTGAGATAGCGGTTGGTCTCTCCTATGTAGCATAAACCAAAATCGAACGGCATCGTTTATATTAGTCCTCACTCGCAACTGACTTTTTTTCTTTCTACGTTTATTAGTGCAGCCGGCTCTGGCGGAAGCAAAAGGAGTCATTCAACTCAGTTTGTAACAATTTCTGAACACTGTTATAACACCATACCTCTTGCGAGTGAATCCAAGATTATGATAAATTCGATAAAAAACGTAAAAACGACGGTGTTCGTGGGTTTAAAGGCCCGACCACACTAGCGTCGCGGAGGCCTGCCTCCCGCCTCAGGCCGCCGCGAGCTGGTGGCCTAAACCAGTTTTGGCCCTCAGCGGCTCACCGGTCGGCGATGTCCAGGCAACCAGCCGTGCGCGGTTGAGGACGTGCCGTTTCTTGCCGCAGAAGAAAGGATTCGATGGGAGGTGGTGTAGATAGTGACGTTGCGATGCCCTGGCAACGCGCAAGCCTTTTCTCCGCGCGTCTTTTTTTGTTTTACGTTGCAAAGGAAGCTAGCGTAATTTAATTTCGTCTGCCATCCATATTTCTCCCAGTGTTTTTTTTTTAGCATAGAATTTCCTTGACACTGCGCGACGTTTCTCCTTTCTGTATGACAGGGCGGAGCTAGACTACCTAGATAAGGACGCTAGGAGCAACCGTTGAGAAATTATCGGAGGTTAATCCGGTATTACAGGCGAGTTTCTCAATGGCACTCGTTGCATGTCGCCGGCGTTGTGACGAATGTCGCATTTATTTGATGACACTCTCGAAAGTAGCCTTCATCTTTGGCGCGCAGCCGAGGCAGCAAAGCCCTGGCCCGTCCCTGGGTGTTTCGGTAGTACCAACTCGGCCGGACCCGGAACCTGCGCCTCCCTCCCTTCAGAGCGCGGCGATGTCGCAAGATCAACGAGCAGGCCAGTGGTGGATCCAAGGGGGGGGGGGGGGGGGGGCGACGGGGGTGGCCCCCCCCCCCCAAACCAAGCAGACCCCCCCACCCTCCCCCTTTCTTGGAGGGCAATATGACATGGGTGGACCCCCCGGTGCTCACGAAAAAATGGGAGAAAAGCATCCTTACAAATGTTCCCCCCTACCCCCCCCCCCCCCCCCCCCCCCCAAACGGAGTTCTGGATCCGCCCCTGGAGCAGGTTAGGATGATAACATCCACGCTGACAACCAGATCATCATCGACACCTGCAATGTAGACAGCGAGTGCGGTTTCGACGCCGATATATACGAAAGTTAAGTAGAAACGGAAAAACACAATTACGAAGAGGAGACGACGAAAGCGCGGGAAATCCGGCCGAGGCACTCACGCAATCTTAAGGACGCCAGTGCCAGTGCTGTCACGCGACGCCCGCAAAACGGAGGCCAATGTGCCCCTGGCGCTGGGACGACGGACGGCAGTGCCGCCCAGCGGCACAGACCGGCCGCGCCGTCGCCGTTAGTGTGGCCAGGCCCTAAGAATGCCCTGTCACTTTTTCTAAACGGAAACGATGCACAGATGTTTGCTGGTCCTCATCTTCGTTAAGAAAACATGTCATGGTATTCCTAAACCAACGAAGCGCGGGGTTCTTCTGTTTTTATGCCAGATTTTTTTTTTAATAATATTGCTTCAATCGAAACAAGTATGGTGTTAGGACAGTGCTTTCAAATGGTTATAAATTGAGACGAATGACTTCATTTGCTTCCGCCAAAGCCGGTTGCACTAAGAAACGCTGAAAAAACAAAAAACAAAAAAAACAGTTGTGCCGGGAACAGGATAGAAGATCCTGTTTGACTGATGTTTATGCTACATAGGACGGACCATGCGCTGTCTGAACGATCGTCTCACCGAACACAAACGCTGTGTCGAAAACAAGGATCTGTATTCTGAACTATCAAAACATCTAATTGAGTGTATTAATTGTGTGCCTTTGTGGTCTCAGCCCCAATAGTCCTAACAGAAAACGACGATCGAAGAGGTTGGTAAAGGAATCTTAACTATCATTAAGCATGGACATTCTTAAATAAGCCCTCTCTCACTTTAGACACAAAATTGAAAAGAAGTTTTATCTCTCGGCGTTCGGTAACACTTATCCACGTCCTAGCAGGTATTGTTGGGAATTTCATGGTTAAAAGTTCTTTCAAGGACAGTTCGTTTTTCTGTATTTTTGTCTTTTAGATTACTTTTTTATATTGTTTGTACCGTCAGCAATACACTGGGCGCGTTTGAGTGCTTCTAGATCAAACTCTGAGACGTGGTTTACATTTGGTCAATGCCTTTGTGATCATTTACATAAAAAAAAAAGTTTCTGTAATGTGCTGTTCAGCGGAGGTCACTGCTTCTCAATCCTTTTATACAAAAGTTTCTTTGTTGTTTTGTTTCCAAATGGTGGTCACTGTCTCTCTGTTTATTGTGGAAAACATGTTTTATATTTTCTTTTCCCCTTTGTCTTTCTCTCTTTCACTTCTATTTTTGTGGAGCTTGAAAACTATATAATGAAAATCGTTTGTAAACAAAATAATCATCTGTATTTCAGGTTTTCTATTTGTCCGTCCTTTCTCATCCAAGTCTGTGTGTGTGGAAGGGAAGGGGGGGGGGGGGGTTAGCCAATGACGTTCAACCAGCACCGGGTCGTTTGTTCCCTAACGTTCTTTTTGTCAAAAGCATTTTTATTCCAGAATTACGAAGCATTTTTAAAAACTACTCATCAATGTGATTATATGCCATAGCTCGAACCTTTCTAGCATTACTCTGCAAAGTACCCGAAACAAATAGTGCGAAGCTTATTTTTTTTTTTTTAGGAATTGGGGAAAGGGGGTTCCTTGGGATTTCATTGGTTTCGCATCTCTCGCCGGAAACGTTTATATATGACAAAAGTGAAAGCGAATGGACCGAGGCAGCAGCTCTTAAACTGGCAGGAGAAAATAGTCCACTGTCTCGATCCAACTTCTCGTGAGAACACACCGGATACATCAAGCCTTTCAAGCGAGAAAGCGAAACTTAAGACGTGCCCTTAAAACGTCCTATCAAGAAATAAAATGAAAAGTATACATGGAACTGATTGGGTTTTATTAGGAATACATCTAAATGATCAAGACAAAATAGATATAAAACGATGTGTAACATACTAATTACAACCGTGTAAAAAAATCAATTGATTGCAACGTAATTTGCCGAGTAGACAATGTACTAAATTTAAGGAAAGCGCCAGGGAAACACTTTGTATGACGTAATATGTGAAAATAAAGTCCTTAATGAATGTATTCTTTTTAACAAAACAAATGCAGGGAGCTTGACTCTTTGCCGACTGCTAGCAAGTTCAGCCAGCATAATTCGCGTACGCACTAAGCTCAATGACATCATATGCTTAATGCGAACTACAAAAGGCTAGAACTTGCTTATGCGATAGTTTGTCTGCTATACTGGGTGACAACTTTTTGTGGCATTTCCGGGAAGGGGAGGGGAGACGGCGCACAGCTTTATTCAGCGCTCAAAATGGGAGAGGAAACGCGTGTCTCTACCTTCCAATGCATTGCCAAGAAAAGTCGCCGCGGACTATAACCAGTTATTGCTTACAAAAAGAAACAACAATAACAAGAAATATATAACAGCATTGTTCGAAAGGACTAACTAACCCAAAGTCGGGTACAATTTTTGAACGTTGCATCAATCATAAACATGCTCGCGCTACTAGGTTTCCGCAAACGTTGGAAAGAGCTCGGCAAATGCGGGTCTGAAATATTAGGAACGGGCGAATCGCGGTTCGAATCGAACAGCCCCGCCTCATTCATGGCCTTCACAGTGCTGGGAAAAACCACCGACACACGGAGTCTCTCTCTGCAGTGTTGAAGCTCAGAATGTCGTTGTGCAATGCAAGTGGGACCGTTATTCGCCAGCGTACAAGACTTCCTTTCCTTAAATTTAAAGAGCAGTCGACAGCCTAGCGTTCTTTATCCTTTTTGCGCGTACGCTATCATCCGCTAAACCGATTACAAAGTGCAGTGAATATGCCTTGAACCCGAGGGTTTTGTTGGTGATCGTACGCTAATACAGTTCCTTACAGCTTAAGAAGAAATACAAAAAAAAAAAAAAAACATAGGGCGTGGCCTTCTATGTTCACGCTTCGTGATTGGTTCTTGGGCGCTGTCATTGGCTAAAGCCGCAGTCTGGCTGCTGAGCGATAATAATATTCTTGCAAGACTCCACGCCCTGCGTTTCTTTCAGCAGTCAGTGACCGTTAGCGAGGTGCGGGACCAAAAGCGTCGCTTCGGTCGCAATTCGGGTTTGGCCATACACTCACTCTGACGTTGTTGTTTGGATTAATTGTTTTAGAGTGCAGTTCTTAGGCGCCCGTTTCCGGCTCGAGAGGCGTCGGCGTCGCCGTCAACGTAAATGCGCGGTGCATTATGGGTAAATTTCACCGCTAATTTAGCAGAAAAATTTCCCCGCTAAATCTAGCGGAAACATTTCCCCGCCAGATCTAGCGGAAAAGTTTAACTGCTTAATCTAGCGAAAAAATTTCCCCGCTAAATTTAGCGAAAAAATTTTCCCGCTTGGAAAAATGTCTCTGGGGCGTCACGTGACCCCCTACCCCACCCCCGAGGTCACGTGACCCCCCTGAGGTCGCATGACCCCCCCCCCCCCCCCCCTCTGTACCCTTCCCTACTCCTCCTCAAGAGCTGCGCTCTAATTCGGCATTACAGGGAGTTGTAAACGGCTTCCATTTTTTTTTTCTTTTTTCGATGGAAATTAGCCTACTTTCAGTTTCTTAAACGTGACGATGTTGGTTGAAAACTGTTGACCAACGTCACCACAGTTTGTTGACGAGTGGTGACCAACATCGTCCCTTTGTTACCGACTATTGCCAACTGGCAAAAAACCGCATAATAATTTTCCTTTTGTTTAACAGTAACAGGTTCCATCACCTGTTTTTTAATTTTTTTTTTACCGATTGATCTGACAATAGTCTTCAAGCTCGAAACTACGGGGCCATCTAGTGAAAAAATAAGACAACGAGGAGAAAAAAAAAAAGAAGCAATTTGTAGCGCAAATACGCGACGACAAAGAGGACGTTTTACCCAGGTTTTTGGGGCGAAAAATACGAATGAGTGTTTTTCTTTTGCCACTAATATACTGCGGTAGGTGATTGTTTTACTTGAGGCTATCGTGTGTGCAGATAATATTGACATTTCATAGTGATCCGTAGAGGTTACGCAAGGAAGCCTCCTTCTGACTTTCACCTGGTGTTGCTCACGGGCAGCAGATCTATAACTTGCAATGTTACCACAATTTTTTTTTATTTCAGCTTTCTTTTTTTAATCGATCTTGTCAAACATTAATATAAAATGTATGTTTTAAGCACTTTTCGTATATCTCGCAAGTAAAATGTTAAAAATACAATCACTCCAAGCTTGCATTGTTATTTTTACACACACCATCGAGCTGTAGTTTGTAACTGAGGATAAATGGTCAATATGTCAATATTTTTGCAACTCATGACGTGACTGTGAGGCGAATTCTAATCGTCGCGCAACAAGCGGAAGCCATAAGGGGGCGAAACCGAATGTGTTTCAGCGCTAGTGGCCTTTGAATTAAGTTTATTTATTTATTTGAGAATACTGCCGGCCGATTTTGGAGGGCCAATGCATGATAGACCACATCAGAAACCACCAATGGGTCGAATGAACAAACAACAATTAACATGTAGCTTAGTCATCGGTGACAGTAAACAATTCACCAACTGCACTCGCAAATAAAGCGGTAGAAGCAATCGCCATCACACTTGGTGGCAGCTCATTCCACTCACAAACAGAACGAGGAGAAAAGCAGTATTTAAAAACAACTTTTCTACAGCGCAACTCAGAGAGCAAATTTTCGTGCTCCTGCCTTGTATCATGACTCGCGTTATACTGAACATAATCAGAAAATTTTAAACCAGCTTTATTATGAATTATATTATGCGAAAATTTTCAAATGCTTTACTTTACTCCGACATGAAAATATAGACACTCCGGAGGCGGTCTACAACGGTGACATGTGTGAATCTTTGCCGTATGAGTTGTGAATAAACCTAAGCGATTTTTTGAAGGCCTTCCAATTGTCAATGAGCGATTGCGAGTGCGGGTCCCATAAAACATCAGCATATTTTAGCAAAGGACGAATCAGCGATTTATAGACCGTCAGCGCAGGAATACAGTGACACATTTTCTTACGTAGCGACCGCAATTTACTTGACGCATTTGTGACAGTCTGCTCAATATGACTAGCCCAGCTTAAGTTGGACGTGATAGTTACTTCCACATACTTGTATTCATTAACTACTTCTAGGGCATTTGAATGGATGAAATAAGAAAAAAAAAGATAGACACCTTCTTCAGTGTAAGTGACATCTGCACACATTTGTTGACATTCAGATACATTTGCCATTTTTCACACCAAAATGAAACCACCATTTGAATACTCTCCTCGAAGCGCTTTTTTGATTAGATACACAAGATATATTTGAAAACGATACACAATCAGGAAAAAAACCCCAAAAAACTGGCATTGCATCGAGTGCTTATCAGCTCGCAGGTCATTGATAAAAACCAAAAATAGCAACGGCCCGAGTACCGAAAGCGTTAGGAATTCTATCCGGGCCACTCGAATTTCTAGTGTCTAATTGCAAAAGACTGTTAAAGATACCTTTTGTAGAAACCAGCAAGTCACTGATTCCAGAACTGACATGTTTAAATGAAGGCAGCATACAGTTATCAACCGTGAAGACAGAAGAGAAAAAAAATAATTAAGCTCACTTGCTATGCTCACTTCATCGGCAAATGTCTCCCCGGTATTAATAAGCTCCTTAATCATCATACTTTTCTTTTGTCACATGAACCAAGAACATTTTTTTGGATTTTCTATGAAAAAGTTGTGCATCGTGGCTTTAAAGTAACGATATTTAGATGTGCGCACAAGAGTCCGTAGCTCCTGGCGAGGTTGAAAGGAGGTTTAAAATAAAACATCAAGTCTAACACCTGAAACTGGACATGACGTTTCACATTCCTAATTTTAGGTAAAATATTTTAGTATTTTTATTTTATTTCGCTCGCACAATAGAACACAAAACATGATGCTTCGAGTGGTTTGTTAGAACGCAGGCGCACAAGAAATAACCAAAGTTTCCAAGAAAAAATCTCCCACTTTTTTCAATAATTGCTTATCAAAGAGAAAACAATGGTTGGTCTAGTCACCTAGGAGAACGTGGGGAACTTAAAAATATGGGAAGAATAGATTTATTAAAAGACGCAAAGAAAAATGCAGCAAATTATTTTCCTGACACGCTTACGCCATATACTTCCTGAAGAACCAATACCAGTGCGACGTGATATTGAGCCTGCTAAGATTTCTTGTAGGTCAATTTATCAGGTAGTTGTTTAAATAAATACCCACTGCAACATCACCATGACCGTTTTTTTTCTTCGCTAGATCACGTGAATGTTAATGCTAAATCAGCTGCGGCGGTTTTAACATAAATTTACAGGCGCGTAAATTGGACCTAACTGAATCGTTATCATGATGATAATGTTATATTTTGAGTTTACAGGTTCTGAACTTGTCATTTAAAATTCTGGCCACATGAGAGTAGAAATACCTCATTATTGCCGTCTGTAAATTAAAAAATCTAATTCAAGGAACGCTCATTGCTAGAAGCGGTGATGTGCGGTGAAGATAAAATATATGTTGAATTTGGTTGCGTGTATGCTTTAGAGTGACTGATAAAGATGTGAACAATTATTAGAATATTCTTCTGATGGAACATGCCATGTACTGCGTGAAAAATAATTCGTTCAAAAATCCTTTTCTAAAAAATCGTGACAAATTACCTATCCGATTGGTGGAGGGATGGCATAATGAAAGCGCCGCTACTACACTCCTCCAATAAAAAATTTGGTTATAAAAAAGCTGAAAACTTCTAGATTTAATGTGAGACTAATATACTTTTCAAATTTAAGTAAAAAAGAAGGCACTGGTTTAGATCGAAAATGAGGCTTTTAATGGCAAATTCACACAGAAGGCCAGCGCGCTATATCATGTTGTGATATTTTGCTTTATGGTACGTCATCAACATTTGCTGGATGTCCCAATACCGTTTCCTTGTGTTGGAAAAGTCTGCATCTCTCTTAACAACAAATAAGACGTGTAATAGAGTATCTTCATTCTCGTTGTGGCCGTTACAAACATTGCAAATCATACACTCGCTAAAATCACGTTGATCTTCAATGAATTCACAATACCGCATATAGTTTATACATATTGAAAACAATGAGAGTACAGTAAGGAGTGAGATGTGTTCATATTGTACTTACGTTCACATATCTCTATTGTTAGATCTCCTTTTTTGTAGCTCATATACTCCCTATATTGTCCCACGCAAGCAAGTTTATAGCCATTTTCACTGTCCTTTTGACATTCGAGTTTTCCTTCAAATATTTCAGCCTCATCCTTGAAGTCGGTTAAACATCGATCTTCCTCTGGAAAAAGACACACAAAATAATACACACAATGAAAACTAAGTTGAAAGAACCTGAGACTGGTGAAGAAGCGAAAGATCAATACGTAGAGGGCATAGAAAATAGACAGTACGACGTCTCACCGACGTCGTCCTCTCTATTTTTGCTCCTTATATGTATTAATGTTTATTTTCGTCCCCATTCTCAGGTTAATTCAACATGATTAATATTCACCAGCTCGCCTGCACCCTTAATATATTTGCACACAATGAAAAACAACAAAGCGCAAATTTTATTAGTAACTCTTTTATTCTAAGTTTTGCGTTTTTCATAGTTTAATCAATCGTCGTGTAAGATCACTAATAAAATTAAATACAAAAAATACTGGAGGAAATTTTCATGGATTCTTAGGGAATGTGTTAGCATGACTCTTGGATACGCCACACCTGCCCTCTTTTGGGGAAGGCTAATGCTGACCCCTTCACTTTTTTCTTTCGGCTTTCTCTCTTGCTTCCTCTATTTTTTGCTGCCTCCTTTTGGCCTCGTTACGGGGTCAGTGCAATCATTTTGCAAAAAAGGCGTCTGAGGCGTTTTTCAAGGAGTATGCTTGCGTATTCCCCAAGAACCCATGAATAGACCTTTCTGTAATTTTTTTCACGCTTTTTTGTACTCCGCCTGTCAGGGTAGGTCGACGCCCTTGAATACAGTCATCCATATTACTCGCGGAAAGAACCACACCCATATCACTAGTGGAAGGAACCGCATCCATATTACTCGTCGAATGAACCGCATCCATCGCTTTAACTACGCGCACACATCACAGCCCACACACCGCTACTACGGGAACTCAGAGCAAAGAAAAACCGACGACAGCAGATCGGCCTCTGAGCTCGCCCGCCTTCTACCGCGCCGCGGCGCAACACCTCTTAGAAAACAAAGCCGTAGTGCTAATTGAGATGGCATCATCAGAGGAGGCCAACGTTGGCACAAATTAGACCCGACGATTGCGTCAACGTTAGGCTCAAACTTGACTTGAAGCCGAGCGCTGTCACAGCACTTATTTCCAATCTGTGTCCAGCGTTAGCCCTCTCTGATTAAGCCATTTCGTTCAGCACTACGGCTTTGTCATCTAGGAAGTGTTGCGCGGCGCCTCCCTTATGACTCCTCTCCAGCTGTGCGCATTACTTTGGCGAAGACGAAAGGGCTCGTTTTGATGAAGACCTGGAGGTGTCTGTCAGTTTGTCAGTGTTGGGGTGAGAGGGAGATGTTGACGCGTGCTTACGTCAGCGCTTCGGAACAATGGGAGCGTCGCACGCGACAACTGTCAAACAAAAGAAACAGAAGTGTTTTCATCAAAACGAGCGTTCTAATGCTACCGCGTCAAGAGAGTTATATCCTTCAACCCAGGTGAAGCCGGAACAAAGTAGTTGTTTTCGTGTGCATTATTCGAAATCAGGGAGTCTCTTTCATTCTGGGAAGTTCTCATCAGAAAATTGGAGGCAAACACAAACCTCAATACGTGAAACCGAATAGTGTTTTCTGCCGGAAGCGGCAAAATTAAAACTTTTTTTAACATTAATATGTCAGGATTCTTTGAGAACGTGGACGAAGGGGGCCGAAGCACCCGCCGAGAGGAAACGACTCGCAGCCTGGTTGCGAGGGTGGACGATGACTGACCGGGGCGGCGTGCGCTCCACGGTGTTTATTGGCGAGGTGACCAATGTTGCCCGCCGAGCCTGGCGGCCACAGACGGGTGGACTAGAGGGGTCGCTACATACTTGTCACACAATATCTTTAAAAATTTTGTCATTACTTGAGAAATATATAATTCCCCATTGATATCCTTGTTCCAACCGCTAGTGCCTAGTTCTGGCGGCGACTTGGATTTCGATTGTTTGTGTTATGTTTTCGTGAATAAGGAAAAACCCCTAAAACAGTGATTTATTTCTCCCTCGATAACCCTTACATTATAACCCTCTGTGCTGAGTGCGAGATACGAGCAATAGTCGGCAGAACTCTGGTACTGTTTGCAGTCATTAAAAGAGCTGTTGTGAATCGCCTGTCACTGCGATGACCTATCTGCCTATCACTACCCACAAGGTTCCTGTGGCACATCCCACCCGAGTATTCCCATTTTTTCCCCAGATGGCCCTGCACTCTAAGAATAATAATAAAAAAGTCGCTTAGTTTCTATCTCTGAATGCAGAGACAGGGGAATTGATGTGATCTAGGAAAGTGTGAGAATATAAAGATGACGGATGGTGTGTGTGTGGGGGGAGCGGGGGGGGGGGGGGGGGGGGGGAGCTCGAAAAAGTCATTTCCGTCAGAGCAATGCGAATTATAATTTGTCCGCTCATTTTCCTGGAACAAGATGTGTTTTTTTTAATCCTCTCGTTCGCTGGATGTCCTGCATAGATCGTACCGCTTGATTACAACTGTGTTCTGCCAGTAAGGAGAGACGCAGTTGTCCTTTTTAAGTTGTAATTATCCCACAAATCACGGACTGGATGGCCGGCACACATAAACTGTGATAAAATGAGTAAAAAAAAGTTTCTCACCATTCAAATCGGTGCTCTTATCTTCGAGTTGTGCTTGTGGCACTTGAGGCGGTAAGTCTGAAGAACCGCTTACGTTGACTACACCAACGGTGCAAATTATTAACATTAGTGGGATCATATTCTGCTAGCTTTTGTGAGCGTTTCTTTCTAAATCAAGTATAGAGAACAGTGTGGAGTGCGTAGCCGCAGTCGGTTATCTCTAGCCGTCTCACGGTCTTGTCTGTTGGCGGACGACAATGCGGGCGTCGCTTATCGGGATATCGTTGAAAGTCTATACGATGGTAGCTGCGCGTTACGGTGACAGATAATTCTCGGAAACGAGCAACACGCCGGAGAAGAAGAAAAGAAAAAAACATTATTTTTTATCCAGGTTGTGGTCCATTAGCGAAAAGTCCTGATTTTTTTATCGTTAGCCACTTTTGATAAAAAAAGACAGCCTTGGTATGAGAATACTATCTTGCAGTCAAGAAGCTTCACAGAGAAAACTATACTACATAAACTTGCTTGCAAACAAAAACAAACAATGCAAATATTAAAATAATTTTTACTGGGTGCGTGCTTCTGATGTGGCCAACTGCACGTTATGTCGAATTTAGGTACCTTTGCTTTTCTTGAATGAAGGATATCTTCCTCCGATTAAATTGCGGCGAACCCTAAAGCGAGTAGCTATGTACAAATCCTTTGTCGCCTTCTCCGTTCTTCTCACGACCTTCCATCGTAGCAGAAAGAGCCCGCCTTGCTTCTCTACCCGCAGTTAAAGGTTGGTCTCTCTGCCCCCGCTCTCTCTCTCTCAGGTGTTTCTTTGGAACGTTGAGCACGGTCGTACGCCCAACGTCGCCGCTCCTGTACAGCTATCTTTCCCTCAGCCAGCTCCTTTCTCTTGCGAGGCAGGATGAAAAGTGCGGCACACCCTGTGAGCACCTCGTTCCGCGACCACCGAATGTGTGATAAGGAAAGAAGGACAGCACGTACGCGTAATTCCCCATGCGCAAACGCTTCGATGTGGCCACCGAAACCTTTTTTCTTAAAATAACAAAAAATGCCACTTAAAAAAATATTCGCAAATTTTTGTTTAGTGTGAGTCCTGGGGTGGTGCTATCGCATTTTATAACTCGGTGATACCGTTTTAGATATTGAAGCAAAAAAGAGAACAGGCCTATTAAAAACCGACGCCATGGCTTCGACATTAAACGCCGCTCAAGGGATGGTTATTTGTCAGAAAATTGAAGACAGGCATTTGAGGTGTTTGTGGAGTTTAGACAATGTTTTATTCGCATGTTAATACGTGTGGGTGTTCTACGTTACTCCTTTTTCCGTTTCTCTTCCTTTTGAGTGCACAGAAAACAGAACATTTATTTGAAATGCTGGAATAACTGTTTGTTTCATTAACCAAATGTTTTTGCCACTGCGGTTGTTTCCAAGCGGAAACGTTGACACTATATTTTTGGTAATTTCATTTAATTTCATTATCAGGGCCTGAAGGCATTACAGAGAGGAGTGGAATCATACATCAATATAAAGTGAACAATGAAAACGAAACGCAAAAAAACAAAACACAAGGTACAGAATCGCTATGGAACATTATTAAGAACATCAGTTATAGTGGCTTTGAAATCAGCAGCGTCAGTAAGTAAGACTACAGATGCGGGAACGTGATTCCAGTCGACGGAGGTCAGGGGTAGGAAGGAGGCATAAAGGTTGGAGGTGATGCAGTAGGAGATTCCAACATTTAGTGGATGATCGGTGCGGGGCGATATGTATGATGGTTCTGAAAATAATGAGGTTCGAAGTGCTGGGTTAGAGTGATAAATTCTGTGAAATAAGCAGAGGCGAGCTATTTTTCTACGAAAGGAGAGGTTATGCAAATGTAGAGACACTTTCATGGAGATGACGCTGGCTGTACGATGATAGTTAGAAAGTTTAAAACGTGCGGATTGATTTTGAATGGATTCAATGGATGATGCTAGGAATACACCAGGGTTCCAGATAGAGCCCGCATATTCAAGTTTGGTGCGCACTAAAGTTTTATATAGGAGAAGCTTAAGCGAAACAGGGGCAAGGAAAAAATTTCTTCTAACATAGCCTAATAAGCGATTATCGTTGTTAGGGATATATTCTACATGGATGTTCCAGAAGAGATCGCTAGTTATATGAACACCGAGATATTATAGGTTGACACAGAAAGCAAGGTGGAGTTATTATTGCAGTAGGAGGGACAAGTGTTATTTTGACGGGGCACTCTCATGGATTTACATTTAAAGGTGTTAAGTTCCATAAGCCAATTATCGCACCAGTGGGTGACGTTGTAAATATCGGTCTGAAGAGCAGATATGTCAGAGTCGTTTATAATTTTCTTATAAATTACGCAGTCACCAGCAAATAGGCTAATAGAAGAGGATACATGCGTGGGAAGATCATTAATATGTATAAGAAATAAACGTGGACCTAATACGGAACCTTGTGGGACACCGGACTTGACACATGATGTTGAAGAATCAGTTCCGTTAGCGTGAACAAATTAGTAACGGTCTGATAGAAACGATTCTATCCAAGCGATTATATTAAGATCTATGTCAAGTTTACGGAGTTTATGAAGAAGCAGCGCGTAAAGAACCTTGTCGAAAGTTTTTGAGAAATCAAGAAATATGCAGTCAGCCCGGGAACCCCTGTCAAGTGTTACGTGAAAGTCATGAGTAAAGGTCAGGAGTTGAGTTTCACATGAATAAAACCTTCGAAATCCATGTTGCCCTGAGTGCTTGCGAATGCTCGCAAGAAGAAATTTTTTTTTTTATTTCTATTTGCTTATCACTTACAAGCTCACTTACAAGCAGAAAATTATCGGAATAAGATGAGCATTGTAAAATCCGCTGCCGCTTGTTTAGAGAGAAACACCAACCCATAGATAAAATTGTAAAAAAAAAAGACTGCAAAAGTTTGCGTACTCTTTAAAAAAAAAAAAAGAAGGGTGTCATCTTACATTTTTTGTGCCTTATAATTTACCTAAAGCTTCAGTTCATTGGAGGGCGCACTGACGTCGAATAGACGGCACCATCTTTTACGAGGGGCTTGATAACGGTGCGATATAACTTATTTAACTGCTAATGTACGTATCAATGTCCACAGAAAGAAAGCAATGAGGTTTTGCAGAAGGGCCAAAAAAATACCGATTATGTTTTTGGCCAGTAATACGTATACTAGCTTTTTTATTGAGTTGTACCACCAGGCTATTAAGCCGCTGGGGAAAGTTGGTAGCGTCGATTCGACGTCAGCGCGCTGTACGTCGAAGTAAACTTTTGTCGGGTCTTTTATGTGACAAAAGGTGTAAGAATATGCCATTTTTTTGCGAGAGTGTAGGCACATTCAGATTTCTCCTACAGATCTTCGCATTGAAAGTTGCGAATGAAATAGAGTTGGATTTGTATTCGCATAGCGGTAGAAGAGCGGGGTTCGGGCAACTGAGCAACGGATTACCTTTTTTTTTCCTCTTCAACTCTGGTTCAGCATTGCTCTTTTTAAGCGCACAATATTTCTTAAGGACTTTTATATGTCAAGCTGTCATGTTTACTTTGAAACAATGCTGATTTAAGTGCAGATATCTATTAACTTTCGTTTCACTAAGAAGTCAAGCATCAACATGCTCTGCATTGCACTGCTGGTGTCGGCTAAATATTGCAACCCTTTTAAGAAAGTTATATAAAATACTAAAAAGAGCCCTTTACTTTTTTAAGTGGGCCATTAGTTTAATTCAGACGCATATGGTATCTGGTGGCCCGAAGACGAACTCAGAATACGACACCAAGTTACACAGCATTTTCAATGCTCGGCAGCCAATTTACAGCAAAAAAAAAAAAGAAAAAAAGAAGATAACGGCGTGTTTCATAGCAGCCGAAAGAAAAAGAAAACACAAATCCAGCCACTGCGCGGATGGGACGAGAGATCTCTTACAATACTAAGTTCGTCGCTACAGACAATAAATAGATTTTTTCGATGATAAATGTAAACAAAAAGGGCACACGAAAGGAACAAAACAAAAAGCAATGACACTACCTTATTTTATATGCCTGACCAACCAATGAGTCATACTGCACGAACGAATTTAACACTTATAGTAACAAAAACAATACCGATTCATAAAAAAAATCACGACGCAAAACACTAAAGCAGAGTGCCAGAAAGAGACGTCCCTGTAAAATGAATTTATTCTGGAAGTGCCTACGATGGGGGGGGGGGGGGGGGGGGCTTTCAAACCGCCTTCTGTTCACCATAAATGAACATCAAACAAACCTGCCCCAAGAGCCATTACGAAGATGTATTCCGTTGTACCGAGCAAGATCACTGATATCTCCTTAAATTGAAACGTTCTGTAAAGAAAAGCACTAAGAGATGTTGGAACAAATGTCGCGGAGTAATATATATCCAGGGCAGGCGAGAAGGATGACGAGGAAATCGAACACTGTTGACACTGTTGCTCCGTTGGAAGGCTGTCATATGGTGATCTTGAAATTGGTATGGAGTTTTGGATTGATTTGAATCATCCAAAAATAACGAGTATAGATGCGTTCTCAAGGATGCCGTAAATATCTTACTGTGTGAAAAATAGTGCGACTATGACCGAGAGGCGTTACTGCAAATCAGTGTTACACATAACTATTCGTATTAACTTTATACATGACAACGAAAGAGTCAGATATCACCAGAATAGCATACACGCAACTTCTAATAATTACAGTACTTCATGCTATATAAAGGTGAACTCAGAACAGCTACTGCTATAAAAAATTAGGTTCGGGCAAATATTCAGACACTGAATAGGAAAATGACCAAATAAATCTCTGTCAAGCCGAAGTTCATCATAACTGCACGCAAAGACGTCATGCCTCCAGAGTTTCTATGGCGAAAAGTGACCTAGCTTTCCTCATATCTTCACCGTAAATGCCAAAGATTATCTCATAGCGGCCGGTGACAATATCCAGCGCTCTTTTAGGGTCGTGGTATCTCTAAATGTCTTGTGATGACAGCATTGCCAGCCAGGCACGTAGCCAGGATTTTGTTTCGAGTTGGGGAGGGGGGGGGGGCGCCCATTACAAAATGCTGTATGAGGGGGAGGGGAGGCCCCAGCAAAATGGAAGATTTCGCGGGGCGAGGGCCCGAGCCCCATGCCCCCCCCCCCCCCCCCCTTCTGACTACGTGCCTGTTGCCAGCCAATGTGATACACAAACTGGTATGTATTAGGGGCTGGAAGATCTTTATTGCTCGACGACCGGTCGCAACTTGG